ATTATGCCTATGCCTTTTTACCATTTCATACACCAATCCAAAAGGAAATGGTTCCATTTTTGTTCATGTTTTTACCCCTTTTTTGCTTTTTTGAGCATAAGAACCCTAAATTAGACAAACAAAAAATCCCAATTTTGAAAAAGTAACCCAATTCAAAAACAAACCCAGTCCTCTGAATTGATGTTCCCCACTAAGATCTAATGATAAAATGAATTTGTATCATGCCAGTGTCAAGATAATTGAAGCAAAAACATGGATCATAGACAAATTCAAACGCAAAATCAGGGTTCATAATGGCATTATTCAAACAAGCAAGAAAGAGGGTTAAAGCTGGTTTGAGGAAACACATCAAAAATGATTACCTGATTGATTAATGATCCATAGCCAACGAAGAGAGAACCGTGATGAGCAGCAAGAAAGAACAACTCTTCCCTCTTCAATACCAATGAAAACCCAACTTTCTTGAAGGGGTTTTGAAAAGAAAAAAAAAATATGAATTTCTTCACTTTGTCTTGGTGTTGAAAAGAAAGAAAATCTGGGTTGAAATTTGTTTTGTTTAATCTAAATTGATATGATGTAATGATTAATGATTTTTCTTACATGGAGAAGGCTACAAAAAAGAAGCAAATGAATTTGCAGAAACTGTAATAATTAAATTATTAATTGTGATTTTTTTTTGTAAGAAGATGAAGAGGAAGAAGAAGATGATATTGGCAATGGTGGACCAATGGATGAATGGAATCTTTGAACAACTGGAAAAAGAAATTAATCAATTTAATTAATTAAAAGAAATGCTCAAAAAGAACAAGTTGTGCATGCTTTTTCTTAATTTAATTGAGGGTAAAATATGTAAATAGTCCTCCGACTATATAATTTTACTTTGTTGAGTCTCTGTCTATTAAAATTACAAAACAATCCTCCGACTATAGGATGTTGCTTTGTTGAGTATATCGACTATTAAAAGTTACAAAATATTCACATGACTATCCATTATGTTTTAAATTCATCAATTTTCGTTAAAAAAATTGACGACGATCTAAGTTGAATGTTAATATTTTGTACAAGTTATGATAAAATTTAATCCCAAAATCTCAAATGACAATTATATCTCAGACAACAGATTAACGTCAAACTCAGACTGTTGTTAATTCTTTAACGAAAAATGATGAGTTTTGAACATATTAAATAGTTAGGTGATCATTTTGTAACTTTTAATTGTCGAGTGACTCGATAAAATAGTGTCCTATAGTCGAGGGATTATTTTATATTTTACCCTTTAATTAATTACAATTAGTGGTTAATTAATTGTTAATGATACTTGTTCTTGGAGTGGGGCCATCGGGGTAAAGGTTGAGTTGTTTTCAGTTTTGGAACAGAATAGAAATTGACTAAAATGGGCTCCGTTGATCGAGTACCCAGCTCAGCCGGCTGGACATTGGATTGTTTTGCCTTAATTAGACAACGAATTATTTTAATATATGTTTTATTTGATTTAATTCTTGATAAACTTTGTGCCTAACACCTTAAGGATGGGTATGGGACCCGAATCCGACAGGTTCCGATCCGATTAGACCCGATCGTATTGGTTTTTTTTAATTTGGGTTTGGGTCGGTTCAGGTCGGATTTTTTTATGTGATGTTCGGATCGGATAGAATTCGAGTTTAGGGTGAAAAATATCCGATACGACCCGAAAAAATATATAATTTTATCTTATATATTTAAGAATAATTACAATAATATCCTTATATATATTATTTTTTTCAATTAAATCACTGTTTAGTAGGAACGTAGTCCGCTTGTAAATCACAAGCAAAAATCTTCTCATGAATAAAATAGAGATTTGATTCCACATGTTTTGACTAAGCATAAAATGTAGAATTTACGCTTATTACCACAACATTAGTATTGTCGCTCCATATCATAAGGGGGTGTTTGGTTCAAGGATCACATTCTCATCTTTGGTTGGTCGGGAATCTCATTCCCGGTAATGTTTTATTACCAATAGTAGATTTTTTGGGTTATATTACCGGGAATGTCATTACCTCCATTCCCTTAGGTATTGTAACATTATCGGCGTTTTGGACTAAAATGCCCTTAAATTTTTATTTTTTTTCAAAAATTTCATTCTTCTATCATTGAATAATAAAAATTCTACGAAGGTTAAATTACAAATTTATCCTTAAATTATTTTAGATTTACAAAAAAAATTCTATAATTAAAATTTTATATGAAGTTCGGGGATTAAAAAAAATTTACCCTTTCATTAAACCTTTTTTATATTTTAATTTTGTAAAAAAATTTATATAAATATTATGAATTTAATTTTTTAAGGAAAATATATAAATATTTTACAATTTGTAATATTATACAAATATATAATAAGGACAATTTGGTCAAATATACATTCCAATAATATTTTATTCCTTTAACCAAACACGATAATCTTACATTCCTGCTAAACCAACCAAACACAAAATACAACATTCCCAGTAATCCTATTCCCTGATAATCAATAATGTTATAAAATATTTCATAATGTTATAAAATATTCTATGGTGTTATAAAACTTTTCATCATATTCTAAAATATTTAATCAATATCTCTAAACCTCTAACTAAATTTAAAAATATAAGTGAATAGATGCACGAACTAACTTATTTAAGTAATTAAAAGAATCGATGTTATTTTTTAAAGGTCACAAACCCGAGTACCAGCGATTGCAGCAGGGTATTTGAGCGTATATTGTCAAATGATTAAGAATATTTAGAACATATACTACTTTGTAATCACTATAGCTAAATAAAAAAAGGCTTAAGGGTCACTGTTACCCCAGTAATAAACCCAATTTATCATTTTCTCCCTTATCTTTTTTTTATCAATTTAACCCTCGAGGTTATCTATGGTGTTCATCATAGCTCTCAAAGTTTGTTGATTGTTTTTTACTAACAAAACTGTGAGTTTTTAGTGTCCGTGAATTAAAGGATTATGTTAAAATATTTATTAAATACATTGGTTAGAACAAAGTCCCAAAATTTTATTATTTATTTTAATGAGATTAAGGAATTATATCAAAATTTTAAGGATTTTTTTTCTAATCATTATATTTAGTAAATATTTTATTATTTATTTTTCTAATAAATGTCACATTATCACCAAGTCACGTCAGTAATATTTGGTTTGTTTAAATACCTAAATTTTTATTTTTTTCAAAATCATACCTAACATTTTGTTTTCATTTTATTTTAGTACAATGTCGTTAAAAAATTAACACGTTTGATACCTAAACTATCAGGTTTAATACGTTTTAGTACCTAAACTTTCAAAAAAAAATTCAAAACTTAACGTTAAATTTTAAACGATGTACTAAAATGAATGTTTATGTGGTAACTTTTTTTTTTTTACTTTAGAATACTTTTGGGATAATCCGACATTTAGTCCAATATATTTGCTATTGAAATTTGAATAACCTCATGTTGTCATATCCACAACACTTGTAAAAAAATATTAGGCAAACTACTTATTTAGTCATCCAGCAATTCCCACAATTTTATTTTGGTCACTCAACTATATTTTTTTTAAATTATACCTAATATTACATTTTAGTTCCGTTTTGGCCAATCACCTTTAACAAATAAACATAATTGTTGACATGACAATCTTTTATTTTTCTTCAATGATAATGTGACATTACCATAACGTGACATGTCAACATCGCCTTTAATTTTTTAATAACAGATAATAAAAAATGGAGCTAAAACGTAAAGTTAGGTGTGATTTGAAAAAAGAATAGTTGGGTGACTAAAACGAAACAACAAAAATAAATATATGACTAAATACGTAGTTTACTCAAAAACATTATGTCATAAACATTCTATTTTGCAGTTTCCGAGGCTTCCTAATTCACAAAGCAAAACCCATGTTTTTGTCACAAATTTAATAAAGCAATAAAGAAATTTATAAAAAGAGGACTGCAATTGTGTTGTGTTATTGACCGGTTGAATAAGAGAAATATTTGTGAAAAATATATACAACTATTTAAAAATAAGATTAAAGTACGCAAATGGTCCCCACCTATATGATACTATTTTATTAAGTCCTCATTATAAGTTATAAAATGGTCTTTCGACTATAAAATGTTATTTTATTAAGTCTATTGACTATTAAAATTTACAAAATGGTCACTCTACTATTCATTATGTTACAAAGTTATCATTTTTTCGTTAAAAAATTGGCGGTTGTCTGAGCTGGACGTTAACATTATGATTGAGATATGATAGTCGTTTGAGATTATGAGATCAAATTTTATCATATTACAATCAACAAGTTAACGTTCAACACATAATACATCAATTTTTAATGGAAAATGATGAGTTTAGAACATAATGAATAGTTAGGTGACCATTTTGTAAACTTTAATAATCGAGGAACTCAACAAAGCAACACTATGTAGTTGACTGTAGTTGAAGGACCACTCTGTAACTTTTAATAATCAATGGACTTAATAAAATAGTATCCCATAATCGGGACCATTTGCATACTTTACCTAAAAATAAATCAATTCAAAATCTAGTCTTTGATAAAATCGCCCTTACATGAGTACGATTCTATCAAAATCATTCAATATTAAGAATTAAAAATATTATTATAAAATAACGAGATCGGTTTAAGCAGTAAGTAATTTAATATTGTTCAAGCAGGTCTTGAGTTCGAGACTCTATGTATGCAACAAATTTTTGCTGGAAGAATTACTCACCCAAAGCCAATTGTGCGACACGGATCAGTTTGTATTAGTCATCACAAAGTCTATTCTGAACAATCTTTCGTACAACATTTATTCAAAATCTTTGTTTTAACAACGCACAACCGTTTTATAGACGTAACTGTTCGAATCTGAAATATTAAGGGATGTTAATCTAAGAACAGTTAATAGATATTAATCTAAGAAGGAATTAAGCTGTCCAAATCTGAATTTTCACGTTTAAAGTGTCACAAATTTTGATTTATGGATAGTCATATGTAACTTTTCTTGTCCGAGCAAGCTCGAGACGCCGTTTCACCCCGATCTTGAAAACAAACCGGGAACGAGATTCAGGCTCGCAATCTTCACCCCCCCCAATGGAAATCCGATGCCTGGGGAAATCGATCCAACACCTGCGGAGGAAAACAGTTAAGAACAGAGGTTTCAACGTTTCGGGTCGTGTCGTACGAAACAAGAGCACTCCGATATCACCGATAGCCATATCGACCCTGCCTCGTCGTACGAAAAGGTCAAAGATGCATTTCTTCCGGCAACAAATGGTACCATGCACCCACAGTTGGTAAAAGATCAAAGATGTTCTAAACATTTTTGTGTTCGATTGATGCATTTCGACTACACGAATGGTACCACATACATGAAATACGAGTCGCTAAACCGAGTATAAAAGAGGAGACAGACTTTACCTCTCGCTCTTGATCAACAGCACGTAGCAGCCGCTCCATCGATCGTATTACGTAATTCCTGATCCTTGCAGCTCGATCGTACAAAGTCCTCGACTATTAGCAATCAAAACACCCGAATCGAAATAGAGAAATAACTCACCGATAAGAAAAATAGCAATCAGTAACGCAAGTTTAAGTTGCAGTGAGCAACTAAACTGCAAGTGTACCGGACTTTGCAGATGTCGTAATAACCCGTCGGCGCAGCCAGAGCACTGCGATATAGTACGTTTATTAGGTTCCCCAAGTACTTGGCAAATATTCGTGCACAAGATGTTGATCATACAAGAAATGTAGCATGGCATGAAATCAGTATAAAGAAAGGAACAAAGTAAATGATGCCCCCTGCCCTGGTTCTTTACCTGCTTCGATCCTTTTCCTTTAGGTGTGGACTCGATGCCTGACCCGACTCGGGTTATATTATCGTATTCATCAGCGATTACTATTCGCAGTGCATCGAAATTCGGTGAACTCCATGTTCTCCTTGTACCGGTTGCTCTCTCTTGTCCACAACTTACACCGGAAGTTTCGACGTCTCCTACATCGATGATGCATTCAGCATCTTTACTAGAATCTTTAGCAACTTTCACTTCAGACGTATCTCCGTCACAAGTAGCATCGAAATCGGAATCTGCGTCTTTTCTCTTATGGTGATTCTCCATACGAGTGTTCTTGGCAGATGCTTGCAGTGTCGGCGAAGTTCCAGAGAGGAAGATCGCTAAATCATCACACTCTTCTTCATCCAAATTAACCCACCGGAGGGGTTGCTTCCCCTCCTCGGAAAATGATTCTTTCAATGCCGCTTCTACACGGAAAATCTGACTCTCGACGGCGGCGATAAACTGGTTGTGCCTAGTTGCTGTAGTATCATCGCTACGACAATGTCCACGGCTCAATCGTGTCGCTCTCTCGAACTCTTCCAACTGAATTCACATCCAAAATTATGGAGCAAACATTAACACGAGTATATGGTTCCAAGAAATGGATAAAAGGCAATGGTATCTAGCAAAAGAGACCACTCTTAATTTTTGTCAAAGTATCAATCCCTAATGTTGTGCTCGTGATCGTTTATTTATTTTTTAATGTGCTCATGTATGGTTCGTGTTCATTTAAATCTTCAGTATCGTGTTCGTGTTCGTGTCCGTTTATTTATTTCTGAAGATGTTCGTGTTTATTCATTTAACGTTCATGAACATGTTTGTTTAGCGTTCGTAGACATGTTTGTTTAATGTTTGACAACAAACACTTTTTTCACTCTTTTATTTGCAAGCTAAAGAAAAATAGTTAAATTACACCATTAGTTTTTAAATTTCTTAAGCTTCACAATTTGAACTCTAAAATTCACCTCATCTTCAGTTTAGTCCGTACCTTCACAAATATATAAAATTAAAAAAAATAAAAGGAAAAAGAGAACCGACTAAACACCTTATAAACGACATGGTAAACGAACTTATAAACGAGTCAATACACGAGCTTGTTCATGAACATAAATGAACCTAACACACTGTTTTTCGTGTTCAGTCATTTATTAAATGAACATAAACATTTTGTTCATGCTCATTTATTTAACTTAATAAACGAACATAAGCAAACGTTATATCAACAGTTCGTCCAACACTCTGTTCATTTACATCATTATCCCCCAATTTGATGGTTTAATTGCACATTTTAGCCACTGATAATTTTGAAACCATTGAATTAAGTTTTGTCCCTTCCCTTTTCAAGAAATTAACCCCTCAATTGTTTTGGTTTAATTACTTTTCAAGACCCCGACCATTCCAAAATTAAGCAATTTAACCCCTCATAGTTCAATTCTGACTCCGTCTCTGCCGACATCCGACAAAGACTAAAACCCAAGTAACATAGATGTCTTAAAATGTGATTAGTTCAAGTAATGAAATTCATACCTGCCATTTAGCAGTGCCTAAAGCAGTTTGCAATTCTCTACAAAGTTGAGCATAATCTTCAGTTTTTAGCCCTTTTCTCTTCTCTTTGATCCACATCCTATATGCTGATTCCATTCTGAAAAAAAAAAAAACAGACGCCATGAAAATAGCTTCAAAAACTCATTTTTCAAAAATGTTTGAAGCTTAAATCAGGGTTTTAAATAGCATTTACGATCACGTTTTCGATTGCGTCGCGTTTATCACGGTTGCGGATATAATGGATACTATTGCAGTCATTGCGGATATCACGATCGTGAAATTTTTTTGAATGAGCTGATTTATTTTAATAAAAAAACCTATTTAAAAAAAATTTAAAATAACGTAATAATAGCGGAATAGCAGCCCGCTATTATCGCGATTCGTTAAATTATGACCACGATCTGCCGTTATTGGTGTGATCCCACTTCACACCGTTATTTTCTGAGATAACAATTTCAGACACCGCCACGACCGTAATATAACGACTGAGACACCGTTATTCGGCCATTATTTAAAACCCTGGCTTAAACATCACATACACAAAACCCTTATCACGTAGTTAATGAATTACATCAAGCATTACAAGATCTCCATTCAATACCAAATTTAAAGAAAACCCTTTCTGATTAAGGGTGAACAAAACTCAATCCGACACGAAATGTCGGTCTCTTCAACTAGAAAAAAACTCTACTTGAATTCACTCGAAAAGATTTTAAATAGCGTTCGCGGTTACGTTTTCGGTTGCGTCGCGTTTATCACGATTGCGGATATAACGGATGCTATTGCGGATAATGCAATCGTGAATTTTTTCCATCTATTCATCCACTATTTAAAACCCTGGCTTAAACATCACATACACAACCCTTATCACGTAGTTGATGAATTACATCAAGCATTACAAGATCTCCATTCAATACCAAATTTAAAGAAAACCCTTTCTGATTAAGGGTGAACACAACTCAATCCGTCTCGAAATGTCGGTCTTTTCGACTCGAAAAAACTCTACTTGAATTCACTCGAAAAGATTTTAAATTCGAGTCTAGTTACAAGAATAGAAATCTAATAATTCGAATAGTAAATCAAAATTTTTGGAAATTAGTGGGTTGGTTTTCATGTTGGAGTCAGAGATGTCAATTATATATATGATATTAATAAATCACATACAATAACATACGAATAAATATATACGAATTGCATATAGTTATAGAAAATCGTTTAAATTAAAATTAGATAGTAACATAATATTATAAATATTTACCATCAAATTTAAACATAAAATCGAACAATTGAGCTCAAATTTTAAAAATTCCGCCTTGAAAATTTACAAATAAAATTTTTCGACTCGATCGAACACTCACACTACTCACGTTCAAACAGCAAAATCCCAAATCACCTACCAACTCCATCGATGAACAAATTTAAAGAAATCAGAAATCAAGCAAAAAATTAGGCATGGAAGTTAAAATAATAAACATACATATCAGCAGATTCTTGAACCTCTTCAGCTGCAGAAAAGAAGGCATCTTTCTGCCACAAATCAAAACTGTTTGCAACCATCTTCTTCTTCTTCTTCTTCAACCGTTCAACAGCTTCAAACGCCAAATGAAATTATAAAAAGAAAGCCATCGATGGATTTGGAAAAATTGGCTCTTTTCTTTCCTTTTGATGCCTTCTCTTTCTCTTCCTATTGCGAAAGCAAACACAGCGTTGAGCCGAAGAAGAGAATGAAGGAAAGAAGAAGAGACGTACAGTGGATTTCCTTCTTTCTCTCACCTTTCTCTTTTCGCTTAATACGAAAATAAATATTTAAATTATATTCAAAATTAATTTTTTATGTTTTAATAATTTTTTTTTGTTAAAATAAATATTAAAAAAAAATCATTACAGTTTTAGGTGTCTAATAAAAAAATTATATTTTTTAAAAATAATATTTTATTTAAAAAAAATTAACGTGACATGTGTCACTTAACGATATTTTTCTAACGATAGATATCTAAACATGTAACGAAAAAAACTTTAAACACATATTTTTAACGAAAATTCTTTAAACACTAAAATATTTTTCGAAATTTTATTTAGCCATTTTTTTTATAGTAAGACTTCTCTTTTTTGTACTCCATCTTTTAAGTTTTTATTCATGTAAAGTTTATATAATATATTTATGTTAAATTCCACAAACGATCCCTGTAGTATGTATTCTTTGTGAAACAACTTAGTACTTCATTTACGAGTTTGATCATTTACTTGTGAAGTATACAAATGGTCCTCCAACTATAGGATACTATTTTATTAAGTTATTCGACTATATAGTGTTGCTTTGTTGAATCCCTAAAAATTACAAAATGATCACTCAACTATTCATTATATATGTTCCGAACTCATCCTTTTCGTCGAAAAATTGATGGTTGTCTAAGTTGGACATTAACATGATGATTGAGATGTAATAGTCGTCTGAGATTCTTGGATAAGATTTTATGATATCGCACTCAGTAAATTAACGTTCAGCTCATAATAGATATAAAATAGAAAATTACAAACATTTAAATTAGATAAAAAGCATAGTACAAGGTCTACTTATATAATTTGACCGAAAATATCATCTAAAGAATCAATATTTATTGAATATAATTCTTAATTATATCAAGAAACTTTTTTTAAATTTGAGGAGCAGGTTCTCTTCGGTGTGTTACGGCTAAACTTTTTATTTCTAACAACCAATCAAATCTCTCCACGTCAATAGATGAGTCAGTATGGCTGACGTGTTTTAATTTGAAGTTGATTCTATTTAAGTAAGAAAAACGGACTGGAAGCAGGTGATAGAAACTCTGTAAAAGTGCAAATGGAGGCGTCGGCAGTCGCATTAATAGATTGAAGTGCTATTAAAATATACGGTAAATCTTCTTATTAAAGGACCATAGAGTATCAAAAGTTATAAAATAGTCTTTTGAGTATATGATATTATTTTGTTGAGTCTATCGATTATTAAAAGTTACAAAATGATCACTTAATTATTTCATATGTTCCAATTTTATCCTTTTTGGATAAAAAAATTGATGACAATTTGAGTTGGATGTTAATATGTTGATTTAGATATGATGAAATCTGATTCTGGAATCTCAAACGACTATCATATCATAGTCAACATGTTAACGTCCAATTCAGATTGTCATCATTTTTAACAGAAAAGAACGAGTTTGAAACATATAAAATAATCGAGTGACCCATTTTGTAACTTTTAATAGTCGAGAGACCCAAAAAAGCAATATCCTAAGTCAAATGATCATTTTATAACTTTTAATGGCTGATGAACTTAATAAAGCATCGTTGTATAGTCGGGGAATCATTCGTCTTCTCTTCACCCTAAAATATAATTACTTCATTACATAATTAGAAAAATTATATATAGAATGAAAAATATGAAATGGTAACTTAATAATTACAAATTTGTTCTTAAAGGCAAATATCAAGAAAATATTTATTTAAAACACAAATTAATAATTGAATTTGTACCTAAATATTTACTATTATATATGTGACATATTCAGTAATTATGATAATGAATTTATTGAATATAAATGAAGTGTTCAATTATAAAGATAATTAGTCTTAATAGATTCAAAATTTTTATTTATTTTATAATTAATAAATTCTATTAAATTATAATTACATTTTGTTAGTTAAATAGAGTTAGAGAATTAGAATTATGTATAATTGTAAGAGGGTGTAATTGATATATCCAAAGAAAAGGGGAGGATTTATGTGATCCAACTTGATACCTAATTGCCAGTTTTGGTCTGTTTTAATACTTAAATTTTTAATTTTTTCAAAATCATACTTAACATTTAGTTTTTGTTTCATTTTACTATCATGCCATTAAAAATTTAACGTGTTTAATACATAAACTATCAGTTTTAGTTCGTTTTAGTACCTAAAATTTAAAAAAAAATGACATTCATGAAAGTTGGTAGTTTATATTATTTTCACCTGTCCATTTTATCTAAATAGAAAAATATTAATTTAAGCATAGAATTTCACCAAATAATTACAAATTTGTACATCAACAAAGCTTCAATATGAATCATATTCCAACTAAAAGTAAATCTTACTCAAAATAACTTCAAACAGACCCACCATATATTTTGACATGAATAATTGCGAGTAGGGGTGTAAATGAACAGAGCGTTTGGTGAATTTTTCGTGAATCATTCGTATAACGTTCGTTTGTTAAGTTAAATAAACGAGTATGAACAAAAGTTTATGTTCATTTAATAAACGGATGAACACAAATAGATGTGTGTTCGGTTCGTTTATGTTCACAAACAAACTCGTTTATGAGCTCGTTTATAAGTTCATCCATAAGTTCGTTTATAAGTTCATTTATGAGCTCGTTCATTTATGAACATGAACAAGCTCGTTTATCCGGTTCTCCTTTTCCTTTTATTTTTTTACATTTTAAATATTGATGAATGTATGTACTAAATTGAACACATGGTAAAATTTTAAATTTAAATTGTGAATTCTAAAAGGTTTAAGAACTAGTGGCGTAATTTTACTATTTTCTTTAGCTTGCAAATGAAAGGGTAAAACTAAAAGTTGAACACAAAAACAAACATTAAACAAACACTAAACGAATATGTTTGTGACCGCTAAATGAACACGTTCACGAACATGAAACGAACATATTCACAAACAATAAATTATGAACACCTTTAAAAATAAGTTAATAAACATGAACATAACATTGTTCGTTCAAACTCAATTCATTTACACCCCTAATTGCCACATCCTATCAAATTGATGAAGTATATTAAAGGTCATTAAATTTTCAAAAGTTATAAAACTATCATTAAATTTATTGATCTATTATAAAATCATCATTATATTTATCAAACTATTATAAAATGATCATTAAATTTATCAAACTTTTACAATATATATATATATATATATATATATATATAATTTATCAATTTTTTACAATTATTATAACATTGTAGTGACTACTTTGCAATAGTTTGATAAATTTATTGACTATTTTATAACTTTAAAAATTTTAATGTCTAAAATGATTATTTAAGCATAATTCAACGACATATGATGTAATTTACCCTTAATGAATTAATGTGGAACAATGGGAAATGTAGATTAATAAATGAATGAATGGAAGGAAAGATGTTAACATCATCACTTAACCACCACTTTAACTACCATTTTCTTTATTTTATTATCCTGATCTAATTATATTTTTAGTCCCTTTAATATGTTCAAATTGAGATTTAATCTTTTGTTTTAATTTATTATACTTTTATAATGTTATTAATAGGTCTAAATTAATAGCATCATTAACTATTATAGTCGGTAACTTAAAACTTTAAAATATTTGGAAGTTTAAATTAAAATTTTCAAAAGTTTTGAAGGATTTAATTTATATTTTTTCCAAAAATATTAGGGTCAAACTAAAATTTTTGAAATTTTGAGAGGCTTAATAAGATTTTTTTTAAAATATGGGAGGATATTTAGTTAAGAACATTAAAAGTTTTAAAGTTTAATCTGAATTTTTTTAAAAAATATTGGGGGACCAAATTATTTTTTAATTTAAAGGGTCCAAATTATAATTTTTAAAATTTTGGGGTCGGAGACATGACCCCCACTAGCCCTGCTTATGTTCCGCCACTAATTATAGTAGAAGTATATGCATTTTTACTAATTACTCATTCATTCAGTGGAACGAGGCGTTAGGTCTCTTAAATAATGTATGAGGTTCAAATTCTATGATCGTGAATGAAATAAATTGAGTTGTTTCACATAAAGGGTTTTTCTATACCCGATTTGAATTGATTGATTCATAAATCAGATACTGATGATTATATAAGAAATATATGATTTTTTTCTGAAAAAAATTAATCAGACTATCTTTATTGTAAGAAAGTTATAAACAAAAAAATTACATAGTTTAACGCTAATAATGAATCGTTTTATCAACTGGGACCTACTAATCACATTATAAGAGTAGATGAACCAAATAATATCAAATTTAAGTATATAGAGTAAATCTCAAACTTCAACATGGTATAGGGACTAAAACTAGATTAAACCTTTCTTTCTCTATTTCCTTCCATTAATTTATTTGTAGACATGTGTTAATTTCCGAGCAAACATTAGAAAATTTAAAAAAATATGATAAAGTATATATTGACGGCATTGAAACAAACAAATAAATCATTGTACCATTATTCATGTGGAAATGTCAATACATGGTCGCTTTAAAGTTTGTCACTTTTGTTTCATTTTTTTTAACCTATGGTCACTCGATTCAGAAACGTCATTACATGGTCGCTTTTGTTTCGTTTTTAATTAAGACGTGATTATTGAGACGTTAGTTACCGTGAGTTGGATGACATGACACGTTAATAAAAATGTTTAATTTTTATTTGAACCCTTAAACTTAAGATAAATTACTAATTATAAGTATTTTTGTAAATCCAAAATTATTTAGAGATAAAAATCAATCAACCCTTTCCCCCCTTATATTTTATTCTCAATTCAGAAATGGAAAATCCCTAAAAAAATCCCTAAAATCAAACCCCCCCAAATTTCATTTTACTCTCGTCACCATTCTATCGATCCCCTGCCATC